GCTCGGGGACCCCGGGGGCCTCCCGGGGCGTATCGGTGGGCGCCGGTGCCCTCCAGCGGCCGCTCGACGAACAGCTGGCTGGTGCGCGCTGCGGAGGCAGTAAGGGGTCGAGCGACCTCTGGGCCAGGCACTCGGACACTAGGACACCATCGCACGAAGCCAGATTTCGAGCCGGCCCCTCAACGTTAGAAGCCCAACCGGCCTGGGCCTTGTGTTTACCACCGGGTTAAAGCTAAGCCGAAACTGGAAACGTTGTGTCGTCAGCCCTCACACCTAATAAAAGAAGTGCAAACTAAACAGGCGATTGCATTTTTACCTCTCGGATAAGCGAGGATTACACAGTACAGACACATCGTGGGCATGTAGGCAAAGCGACACCCTTGCACACAGCTGGTAGGGGGTGAAACTGGTACAGCTACTTTGGAGGGCAGCTTTGCAATAGCATCAACACCTTAAACGTACATCCGTGAACCCAATTTCCCACACCTGATAATTTATCCTGTGGATATACACACCCATGTATACAAAAATGCACAAAGATATTTGGAGTATACACTATTATTGCCAAAGACTGGAAGCAAATGACCTTATCATCCATGGGGTCTGCATTAAAAGTTATAATACATCCAAAATAAAATGCTGTGAACTACTAGAAAGAATAATGCTGACTGCTAGTGTGGAACAATCACCAAGATCCAGCCATCCAGTCACCAAGAGAAAAAGGTAGAGCGAAGAGCAGTGACAAGAATATGTGTCCATTTGTGTAACAAGAACAGAAAAAGGCAGCGCATGATACGTATATGCTTGCATATGTGTGTAAACTGTCTCCAGGAATTCTGGTTGCTCTGGAGAGGGCAGCCCCGCGCGGGGGCTGGGAGGCAGGAACAAGAGGGAGACTTTGCTGCTCCTAGAGGGTTGTTTGGTTCTTGCGTGTGCTTTTTGTTTCTTTGGCCATTTCCAAGTATTACTTTTTTATTGTGAGGCATATCAAGATTGCACATGACATTTATTTATCCACCCTATGGCAGATGAACATTTGTGTTGCTTCCAGCTTTTTGTTATTATCAATACTGCTGCTGTGGACCTTCTTACACGTGTTTCCTGGTATGCATGGGTGCATGTTTTCTCTAGGGCCTCAGTTCTCAAACGTTTTGGTCTCAGGACCCCTTTACATTCTTGTAAAATTCCCAAAGAAGTTTTCGGGATCCAAAAGAACTTTTTGGAGAGACTTGAAGATGGCGGTGGCTGCGGCGCCTGGGGCTGAGTAGCTGAGGTGGAAAAGATGGCCACTGGGCCTTAGGCAGCCAGGAAACTTGTGGACCTTCCTCTTGCCGTCTCTTAAGGGAGGACCGCTGCTGGTGGCCGGTCGTGGGGGCTGACCGCCACTTTGCCCCCGGCAGGAGAGGCTGCCTCGTTTACAGCAGGCAACAGCTTTGAAGTGTGGAGCAGGAAAAGAACTGTTTCTTAGCTGCAAAAGCGAATTCCTAAACAGGGAACAGGGTGCCGGGGCCACTGTCGACGCTGCCAGGATCCCGGAGGCCGGGGCCATGCTGAAGGCGGCCAGCTGCCCTATTCAGGATTCGAGGTTTTGGGCCGGCATAAAAGAAGATTCCTGGGAGTGCCCAAGCCGTGCCCTTGGGACCGATTGAGCAGCCCGAGGCAGCGATGGCCGAGGATGGGGACGGCAACGACGCAGAGGCGGAGAGAGAGCTGCCCGGCCCAGCCCAGCCCTGTGAGTCACCCCCGGCCCGGCCCTGCTCGCGGGGTGGACACCCACCCGGCTTCCGCCTGCACCACCCGGCCACTCACCGGCCCTGGGGCTGCCTCCATTTTCTCGGGTGGTGACGGCTCCAGCCCGGCTTGGCCAGGCCTGTCCTCCTTGCCCGGCTCAGCTCCTCACTGAGCCTTCCCACTTGCTTGCCCCGGTGCGGGGCTTCCTGGGGCCTGCGGGCTGGCCTCCCCTCCCACTCCCTCCATGGTTCTCTGGCGGGGCTGGTGGTGTGGGGCATCCCCAGCCAGCGTCGGGAGGGCAGGGAAGTGCGGGCTGGGCTGACTGTCACTCCCCCTCACCCTGGGCTCTGGCCCCCGGTAAACTTCCTGTTACGGGAAGGCAGACACCATCTCTGTGGTCACCAGTTTGGAAAAACGCCTAACTGATTTCTGGTTAGGAATAGTGTGGTCGGAGCGTTCCCAAGTTTGCTTGAACCTGCTGGAGAGCTGTCTGCGTGCAGGCACCGGAGTCGGTCCATGCAGGGGGGATTCAAAGGTGAACCGTGTGCTGCGGGCTCCTCCCCCGAGGAGCTCACGCTCTGGCATGGGAGATAAGACAAGTACACAAATAACCTCAATGCCAGGAGGAAGGCGATAAGTCCTGAGAAAGATCTGCACAGTGCTACAAAGGCACTCAGAGCGACCAGTCGTCTGTGCCTAGCAGAAACCTGGAAGACTTCCTGGGTGAGGCGGTGCCAAGCAGGGACTTGAAGGCCCAGCCGATAGATGAGGGTTGCAGAAGACACGGCCCAGCCCAGCCCAGTGCACACAAAGTGGGGAGACGTCCGGCTAGAGAGGCGGAGACTCAGCAGAAAACACACACCCTGTGGGGCCACCACTGTAAGATCCAGCAGCCCAGCCTAGTGCACACAGAGTGGGGAGACGTCCGG